GGTTTTCTGAGCGCACACATCCGAAGCACACACACAGAAAGCGGCTGTCACAGAGCAATTTTGTTGTGATTTTTTTTTGGTCATTTTTAGACATTTATACTGTATATGTCTATGTAGTTTTTTTTATTATTATTATTTTTTTTTTTTTTAGTTTTAGTTATTTTACGCCAAGGTAAACTAAATTAAAATGACGAATGTTGTTGCTACTAGCTGAAATAAAAAAGTTTTTTAGATTTTATTTTAAGTAAAATATTACTATTTTATTTTTTATTTTATTTTTATTTTTGAAGGTTTTATTTTATTTTATGTATGTATTTATTTATTTATTTACTTATGTTAGTTAGTTAGTTAGTTAGTTAGTTAGTTAGTTAGCTAGTTAGTTAGTTAGTTAGTTAACTATAATAGCCACGATCTGAACTTCTTACTTGTGAGTTTTCACACTCACACAATCAGTTTTGCTGATTTGAAGTACTGCAATTCACAATTTTTTTGTATAATACATATTAAACTTCAACAAATACAACCATTATGTATTACGCAGAATAAATACAAAATGTACTAATCTTTTTATATTTTATTTTACTTCAAGTAAAATATTAGCATTTTATTTTATTTATGTTTATATTTTTGTTTTGGTTAACTATAGTAACCATGATCTGAACTTTTGAGTTTTAATCATGATTATTATGATTTTTCTCATGCTGATTCTACATGCAATTCACTGCTGTACTGCAATTCACAATTTTTATTATAAATATTAAACTACAACAAATGCAACCATAATGTATTATGCAGAATAAAAACAACATATACTAATCTCAATATTTGTTACTAAAAATAAATAATATTTGACAATATTTATAGAATGGGAAATAAGATTGGGCAGGACTAGTCTATCAGCATTGTATTGTTTGTTTGTTTTTTTATATTATTATTTTTTCTTTATGCAAAATATGGATGTTCATTTCTTTGTTGTTTTTGGAGTAAAATGTGACCCTGACATGTTCTTGGCAGGTTTCATGAGATTCACCTTTTTTTTTTCAAACCACAGAATAGCTTTGAATGACAGATGGCTGGATTTAAATGGAGGAAAGCAGCAGGTGTTTATCAGGCTGCTCGTTGTGCTGGAAACTATGGATTATGAACGCTTTGATGTTAAAGTGAGAGGCGCTTCTGCTGATGAGGTGCTATATTTTATCCTGCAGAGTCGCTCTGACTGTATCTGATATCCCTCAGGCTCTTCCCCGAGAAAAAGAGCGGCTCCTTTAAGATAAACGAGCAATTATCGGCATGCGGCACATTCTCACAATATGGCAAGATTCAGTGCTCAGGAATGAAACTTCTCCGAGGTTGCGGAAACAATGAGCTGCCAGAAGAGTTAGTCGTTCATTTTAGCAATTCATGCAGACATGCTTCATAAGCAGGTGTTATTAATGTCGTTCATTATGGGGGTTTGGAAAACATATGAAGCATTATGGAAATGCAGAGCTGCATAAACCAGTCGAGACTCCTTCAGTCATAAGTCTGAGAGTTCAGCTCTGTGTTTGCAGAACGTGTTAATGACAGCATTCAATAATGACTTCCAGGACTTATGAAGTAAGTAAGCAGGAAATAATGTAGGATTCATATTGAATCCAAATTGCATTTCTCTTCCATAATGTGACAGATTTCAGTGTGAATATTCAGGTGAAAATAATGTGCAGCACGGATCAGTGTTATTTCTGTATATTATGTTTACTATTGTAGGTTTTTTTAATTAATATTTTGACTTAGATTTTATTTTGTATATTAATTTTTTTTTTTAGTTTGGTTACATTTTTTGTAATTTTGTTATGTGCTTTTTGTATTAGCTTTTTTAATGTTATTTAGGTTTAATTTAATTTCAGTTTTAGATTTTATTTATTTCAAGTAATGTGTGCTTCAGCTTAAACGTATTTCAGTTAGCAACATTTCTAATTTTTAGTAAATGTAAAATTGTCATCTAAAATGTAAAATTTATTTCAGCTTTGTTTTAATTAACACAATTGTTTTTAATAGTTCTAGTTTTAGTTCTGTTTGTTTGTTTATTCGTTCATTGATTGATTGTATTAAATAAAATAAGTTTTATTATTATTTATTTATTTTCTTTTATTTATTTTATAAATGTGTTTATTCATTTATTTTGTATCATATTCTGTGCATAATTGTTATAAAAATCACAATGCAAAAAGTCATAAAAGGCTTCCTTTTCTTAATGCAAAATTTTATTTTATGCTTTATTTCAGTTTTACGTCAATTAACAAACATGTTTTTAATAGTTCTAGTTTAGTTCTCTCTCTTTCTTTCTTTTTATTGAATAAAATGCATTTTATTATTATTTATTTAGAAATGTGCATGGTTATAAAAATGGTTATAAAAATCACAATGCAAAAGTCATAAAAGGTTTCCTTTTCTTTATGCAAAATTATTGTTTATGTTTATAATTTATTTCAGCATTATTTCAATTCACAAAAATGTTTAAATAGTTTCGGTTGTGGTTACAGTTTATGATAATAATCCTGATCATGGGATCTGTGAGGATTTTATGAAATTGTTTAGTTGATTTTATTTTTCTCTAAAAACATGCATTGTATAACCAGAAACATATCTTAGAGAAAGGTAGCTGACTGGTTTCATTTTGACATTATTAATGCATGTGTGATTTGTCTCATTATAATGTCATGTAAAACAACAAAAATGGCAGAAGCTTAATTATCTCTGAAGGTATGATGAGTTTTGAGTAGAATCCTGTAATTATGGTAATTCTGCTGTGATATTAATGCAGCATATTTTTCCAAGCCATAAGCAGCAGTTAAAGATCAGCATGTCTGAATCATGATCTCTGCTTTCAGACACCAGCGGTTGGTGTTTGGGCTCATGTTTAAAGCTCATGTGAATGGAGGTTTGGGTCAGAGACGTGAGCGGATCACTTCAGCCGAAGGCCTTGAAATCAGAGGTTCACAGTGCAGTGATGAATGAGAGCAGCTAATGCCTTATTAATTATTAACTGACACTTACATTCAGATGTTGACAACCGCTGTCTGATGGGTTGAATATTTGAAATCGTACGGTGAATATTCGAGAAGGCTAGCTGGTAATAGGTAGGTAACAGAAGGTAGCTGTCATGAGACCTTCATCATATCTTACTGTTATCAGAGTTCTGTGATAAAGTGTCATGTTAGCGCTAATGTTGTTTGAATATGTTCTTTTCAAGGTTCTGATTGGTCAATTGCAGATTTGTAGAATCCAATATTATGGTATAATTTACTATTGTTTTCATCTGTAAAGCATTGATATGCAAGGCATACACAGTGGACATTATTGTGAAATTACAGTTTTTCTGACACTTCTCTCCAATGCAATACACTTGTTCTCAAAACAATTAGCACAGCCATCCAAACACAAAATTATCTTAACCAAACAGTTCTACTTTACTGCAAAATGAAGCACTGCAATTTTTTCTAGTAATGCATTTATTAAAAGTAAATATTAACATCAAATCTATATTGATTATAAAACTCATTCAGCTGTAGATGCACAAATATGCTTTTGAACAGTAGTGTATATGAGAAGAAAAAGGTCACAGTGTCAGTTTAGTGTCATTATGCAAATATATTAGACTGCATAATGTTACGATGGACCAATCACAATCAAGTATTCCATATATGGATATGCAACCACCTGCTGTGTAGTGTTTGGGTAACACTGTGCTGCTGTGATTAAGTCAATACAAGTCCCCCGTGTCAGTCAGAGGTGATTTGTCCTCAAGTTTGCCGCACATATATGTTGACGTCTCTCCTCGCGCTAGCTGCATGTTATTCCCTGTGCTTTTTTGTGTTTTCATCTTTTCTAACAAGTCTGGGATGAGCGTCATGTTATTCAAACAATTGTTCGTCTGGAGACTCTTTGCTCTTTATTTAATCTCATTGTCTTGTGTAAACAGTTGAAATATTAAAAACATCTCAGTTGTGATTTTTCCTTTCATATGGTTTCATGTGCTGTTTTAGTATATCATTTCAGGCTTAATTCACATTTTTACAAATTAATGCCTTAAAATGTCTTATATAGGTGCAGAAAGGCTTACATTTATGATGTCATGGCATTAAATGATGCATGCGCTGCAAAAAAAAAATTTTTTTTCTCTCAGAATGTTGTCTTCTACAAATATCTAAATATCTTTATATCAGGATTCATTTACTTGAGATCATGAAATTTGAAGATATGAAATCATGTTTTCTGAGAAACCGAACAATCTGAAGTATGCTTATGCTTAAAACAACAAATGTGACCCTGGAGCACAAAACCATGTCAGTAAAGAATGAAATCTTGTGAATTTAGTTGATTTTTCTAAGCCCATTGGCAGGTATTTAGTCATGTTTTAATCATAAATTCACTTATGTCTCATGCTTCTCAAGTCAGTGTGTCTTGAATTTTATTTTTAATGGAAAATTACAAAAATACTGAGAAAGATGTGTGTTCCCTTTAATTTATTCCTTTTTTATATACTATATATGCTTGGTATACTATTATAGTTACATTTTTATAATATTATTTTATATAGTTATATAATTCATATTTTGAATTAGTTTTACTTTTTATTTTAGCTATATTAATTTACTTACTATTTAAGCATCACTGTTTAAGTGTAATGTATTTTATTTAAAAATATATATATTTTAGTTTATTTTTGGTTAGTAATTTTAATGCTTTAACCTAAACTTATTCCAGTTAATTACCATGGCTACATTTCTCATTTTCATTTAGTTTGTCTTTCATCTAATATTTATATTTGTATTTTATTTCAGCTTGATTTCAATTGACAAAACTGTGTTTAATAATGTTAGTTTTATTTGTAGTTTGTGATAGTACATGCTGGAGATGTTTGTAGATTGTCTCCAGACAGTAAAGCCCAGTATGTTTCTGTGCATGACTCACTGTTGACTCATGACTCTTTCTCTTCTCTTTTTCCTCTTCATTTGCAGAACACGACAAGCATCGTCTATGTAAGAGCACAGAGTACATGAATTTGCACTTCAAAGTCAAATGGTTCCACAACGAGTACGTCCGAGACCTGCCTGCCTTTAAGGGAATTCCTCCAGAGTATTCACTGTGAGTTTCCCTTCACGTCTCGCTCTCTCACGGTGTTGAGTTTTTTTTCTGAAATCATTGATATAAACAAAAATCAAGTTCCATCCCAGTTTACAAGTTTAAGGCATGAGGAACTAGTTCCCTTACACCATCAACAACAAACCAATATATATATATATAATCATAATAATATGCTGATTTATTATCAGTTGTGCTGCTTCATATTTTTTGGGAAACCTGTGATACTTTTTTTCAGGATTCTTTGACGAATAAAAAGTTAAAAAGAAGAGCATTTATATAAAATAGAAATCTTTTCTAACAATACACACTACCGTTCAAAAGTTTGGGGTCAGTCAATTTTAATTATTTCTTTTTTTGAAAGAAATGTAAACTTTTATTCAGCGAGGATGTGTTATAAAAACATTTAGCAAGATTACTGTTTTTTCTGTATTTTTGATCAAATAAATGCAGCCTTGATGAGCAGAAGAGACTTCTTTAAAAAACATTACTAGTCTTACTGATCCCAAACTTTTGAACGGCAGTGTATATATATACATTTTTGCATTAATAAAAAAAAAAAAGCCATATTTTTTGATTATGATGACATCATCATGACAATTTTAAACAGAAAGCTTTCTAATTTAACAACATACATCAGTGGGATGTTTTCAACATTTAATTGTAAATTTCTTAGTGTAACATTCACAAAACCACATCTACTATACGACTATATATACTATACTATACGTTTGAATAGGGTTTGTGGGTTAAAGAGTTCAAGCTGAATTAATTGCAGGAAATCACGTTCCATTTGATGGTGATATAATTATAAATTGTATTATTATATAAAATCATGTATATATGAAGAGCTCAGATCCAAAAGCCTCTAAAGTGCCGTTTGAGGTTTTCTTCTAAAATGAGCATTTTTATCTGGCTCCTGTGTGTAGGTTATGTAATTTCACTTTATTGGCAATGTATAGGTTCTTTTCATATATATATATATATATATATATATATATATATGACATTTTTTGACAGGAGAAAAAAAAAAAAAAAGATTGCGTTTCCTGAAGGAAATGCCAGCATTTGCAAAGCACCAAAGGAATAATGCCAAGGTTTTAGGTATGTTTCAGTTTGAAATTAATTGAATTAAATTAACTAATTAATTGAAATTGATTCATGATCGAAATTAATTACTTAATTAAGTAAGGAATTTGTGGGTTAAACAATTCAAGCTGAATTAATTGCAGATATTGAGAAAAAAATAAGAATAACAATATATTCTTTAAAGAATATTAACACAGTGTTGCTTTGCAAACATGGTAAAACATTTTTTTAAATGATTCCTGCAGCAGCAATACGAACTAAAATGTGCCAACATCAATGCACAGCCTGTCAGATGAGATTTGATCATTAGCACACACAGGAGTCCTCCTCACCTCCTCACTCTCATCAGCTTTTCTCAGATTTTCTCTCCACTCTCAGCTGTTAAAATCACTCACTTATCTCTCGCTATTAAAATACTATGATTACTGTTATGACTTATGATTACTTATATTTTATTTCGCAGAGATCAGTTACCTTCCTACATTATTGCAACTGCAACAGGCATTTTAATCAGATGCATATTGCCTGTTACACATAATTTCATTAGATGCATATTTATTTATCTGTTTGTTTGTTTGTCATGCATATTGCTATCTATCTATCTATCCATCCATCCATCCATCCATCCATCTAACTATCTATCTATTTATCTATCAGATGCATGTGACCTGTTATACATAATTTAATCAAATGCATATTTATTTATTTAGTTAATGTTTTTTATTTATTTTTATTTTCAAATGCATATTGCCTGTTCTCCATAATTTAATCAGATGTTATCGTTTGTTCGTTCGTTCCTTTATTCATTTATCTATCTATCTGGGGACAGCTTTTTTTTTTTTTTACCTTTTTTTTTAAGCAATTAGGCACAAGTAACCATTTGACTAGTCTCAATATTATACTCTCATTATCATAATCTTACATGATAAACTGGACACACAGTCCCCAGAAAGCATGTGTATATTGATGAGACTTCTGTGAAATATCGCTGCTGGTAAACATTGCATTTTAAAGGTCATATTTATGTACAAGCATCTGATAAAATTGATTAAAAGTAATATACATTCAAACTAATAAATGTCGGCAAGAGCATCTGCTAAATGTCGTCCTGACATTCAGGGACATGTTGCAAATGAGAAATGGCTGTAAAAATGACACCCTACTGCAGATGTCAGACTGATCTCTCTGCAGCGTTCCTGAGCTGTGAATGTGTGCTTAGGAAACCTTCACATAGAGCAATATTTACAGTTTCTTTCAACTACTTACACACAAAATCTTTACTCGTCACACAATTTCTGAAAGCTGACACTCAAACAGCAGAAGCACACACCAAATCTGCAAAACCATACACTTTATTCTCAGCCTTTGACTCAGCCTTTTTTCAAAATAAAGCACTTTTTGCAAAACGCAACACACAATTCTCTATGTACCACAAAAATCTAACAGGAATTAATATTATGGCAAAGGTGTTTGCAAATGTTTGCTTTTGAGATGTGTTTGTGATATTTTGAATGCAGTGCTTCATTTTGCAAGAGATGTGAGGCATTTTGC